ATTTTTTCTTTTCCCATTTAGATTAGTGTCCCATCGTTGTGAAACTTAAATGACAAACTCTTACTATTATTAGTTCATGTGCAAAAATTGTTCGTCCGCATGCCTAGTTTCCAGGTTTTATTTGACAATGTTTGACAAAGATACGCCAGGGTGATCAGATTTGTTTTGTCTACACAGAGATCACAGTTTTGCTCTCTATACAAAACTCAAAATGTTTAAATCTACAAATAGAAACTAAAATTTGTTTCATACATTTTTTTTTTTGATTAATTACTTGAAGAAGAACAACTTCAACAACAACTATTTGTTGATGTTAATCCCAATTCCTTGCTCTGAACTTTAAAACTAAAATCATAAATAAGTAGCTTAATGAAGCTTCCTCTATTACTATTGATTCTTAGACATGCTAAGCTAAATTCTTAGATCAGAAGGTCAATGCTTGAAATGAAAAAAACTCTGAATGAGCATCACACTATACAAAGCAATTTTAATAATTAAACAAACACTACTCAAGTATTAATTTCTCACTTTAATTTCTAATCAACCTCGAAATTGAAATGAACCATCATGTCATTAATTAAATTGAGAAAGTTCTCTTTATGGATCATTTGGCTCCTCTCCTTTTCTTATAATGAAGAAAAAAATTAAAACTATTTTTTTCCAATTAGCTTACAAAGTGTTCTTTTAGTCTTCATGGATGTTGAAGTGGATAAGATGATGATATGAGAATATCTTCTTGAATAAGGGTCATCAAGGCCTTCAATATCCATTTACCCTTGCTTACCAAAATTGAAATTTATCTTTATATATATTGATAAGTCAAATTGGACCTCAGTGCTTGATACGCCACCAACAAATTTTCATCATTCGACACGAATCTCAATGCAATTTTTTGAAATATTCAAACTTCGATTAAGAGTCATCTAGAGCTCCGATTTTAACAAACTTACAGTCAAACTGATCGACTCGATGAGACAGACCTAATGATATGAAAGACAGTCCAATCCGAGTCAAATCAAGCCCGGATCAAATCATTAAATTACTCTTGGAGGATTTCCGGAGGCGTTTGAAAGGTCAAACGGATGTCGAATATAGCAAATTTATAGTCGAATCGAGCGTCTCGACAAGAAGAATCCAACGAGTCCAAGATTGCTGAATTCTGACATCGTTAAGACACTCAAATGTCCATCAAACGTCATCTGATCAAGGGAAGCTCTCCGAGCCGTCCAATCAAAATAGTTCATATTCCTGCATTAATTGCACTCAAAACACTATAAATAGTGTCTCAACCCTCATATGAGGGAGGAGGCTTAAGAGAGAACTTGAGGCTTTGAGAAGGAGCTCAACTTCAAGATCATCCCAGCCATCGTTGATCGTCGTTGACCACCACTGACCGTCAACCACCACTGCCGACCCCCGTCGAACACCGCTGACCCCCG